TATTTGGTAGGTTAGTGTATTAAGTGCATCTTCGGCTTATGATGGGATCATTCTGTTGAGGAAGATCTGGAGTGATAAGTCTGACACCAGTTCACCAGAGCACTGGCCAACTGGGTCATCAGAGAAAGAAGTTCATGAGAATTGAAGGTGGCTGCTGGAAGGTACCATTTCTGGGAGGAGGGGTAGATGTCTCCCAGAGACTTAATGGTTAAGTACAAGAAGGAAGCCAGGGTCTCATGGGGGAAAAGAATCATAGAAGAGAAAAACCCTTCTCAGCTCAAAAATAAAACTTTTCTCTGAGGAATACTGCATTTCATTGTACCAACAGAACACTCACAGATGAAACCCAGTAAGCCACACAAACCCCTCATCTCCACCTGGATAGAACCAATCATTTCTGCAAGTCAGGAAAAGAATGCCTTTCAAAATGAACAGAAAAAGGAAGACAGCATCTATAAACACTGCCATAAGAAGAAAACAAAATGAGAATCATTTACAGCTTGATGAAAAGTCTCTCCTCAACCATAAGGCAGAAGAAAAGTGCAACAATAGCTAGTCTGAATCAAATATCCTTAAACAAGACTTTGCCGAAATTAAACAACCCTGGAACTTAAAAATGTTGGGCACCTGGCAGGGCTCAGTTGGTGAAGCATCTGCCTTTGGCTCAGGTCATGATCCCAGGGTCCTGGGATGGAGTCCCGAATGTGTCATGTGTTGGGCTCCCTGCTCAGCAGGGAGTCTGTGTCTCCCTCTCCCTCTGCCTCCCCCTGTTGCTTGTGCACATGCTTACACTCTCTCTCAAATAAATCTTTTTAAAAATTTCAAAAGGTCAACAAAAACAAAAACCTTCAGCAAGCTGTAAAAAATCAAAAAAGACTTATCTCAAGATTAAATTATAGCTGGCCAAGGAAGAATAGATTCAACAGAGTATACAGTGGAGGGCACTGAAAAAGTAAAAAGCAGCCAAGAGTACATACAAAGGTTACAAAGATAAAGTAGAATGGGTACACACAAGTGTGTGCTCATACAGTGGAATGCTATAGAGCAGCGAGAACAGGCAATCTGCCAATACACAACATGGAGGACTCCAATGTGCTAAGGAGCTGGACTCCGGCCTCCTCTTGTGGATCCTATGGAGGTGGCTATTTGAGTATCAGGTTTTAAGAACAGAATTGAACAAATATGGGTGGGTCTATCTTAATTCATACATGTGTTACTGGGGCACCTGGGTGGCTCAGTTGGTTAAGTGTCTGACTTTGGCCCATGTTGTGATCCCAGAGTCCTGGGGTGGAGGCTCATGTTGGACTCCCTGCTCAGCAGAGAGTCTGCTTCTCCCTCTAGCCCTCCTCCCACTCATGTGCTCTCTATCTCAAAATCTTTAAGAAATATGTGTTACTAGAAACCATTTATACCTGTGTCTATGTATGTGTAGGTATACACATTTATCTACTGAATTATTTAAGATTTTATTAAATAATGTCTCCATCTAACATGAGGCTCAAACTCACAACCCTGAAATCAAGAGTCACACGTCCTACTGACTCAGCCAGGCACCATTCTGTTGATTTATTTTAAAAGTATACAAACAGGTAAAAAGAATCCTGTGAGGAATCTTCTGTAAAAACAAAAACAATACCCTCCCCATTTCTTTCATGTAGATGCAGATTTTCATACATTAGTTTGCAAGGAATGCTTATGACCTGGAATGACTTGGGTCTTTAAGAGTATTCTAGCTTGAAAATACGCAACCTTGGGTTCTTCAGAGAGGTATGGAGAAGAGTCCATGTTCGTGGAGGTATTACTGAGAAAGCATAGAAATGGAACTTGAGAATGCCTAGCCACTTCAGCCACTTAACACGAAGAATCTAAGAGGCTCCTCGTTCAGTTAGACCAACTCTGACATAGGGGTGAAGGACAGTGTCTTGGGAAGCTTTCAGACTAATCTAGGCGATGCAGAGCAGAATGCTCTGTCTCAGACATACTCAAAGGAAGAGCACTGTAATTTCAGAAATAGTGGGAAAGTATAGGTCTTGACTTGTCTGGAAGGCTTCCTGTTATGAACTCTCCTGCTTTGCCCCATGTGTGGGTTCCTGCTTGCTTTCTTGCAGACGTGTTATGTCAGCGTGTTCAGAGTGAGGTGAAAGGAAAACAAGGCTAGGGAGGCCCGAGTGCCCTGTACAGCAGCCCTGGTTTGAGCAAGCACACATTTTTGGCCCTCTGCACCCTCTCTCACGGGACTGGAGACCATAGCCTATCCTTTCCTTCCTACGAATCAGAACTGGCAATATTGTTCCAGTTGGTGGTTTCTCTCATCTGTTTGGTTTGGCTTCCATGCCTTCGGTTTTTCTGAGAAATTTAACTTCCCAGGAGCGCCCCCTGGTGTTCAGTAACCAAGAGGGCACATCTTTTGGCAAGTGTGGCTCAAGTACAGAAGGAAGCAAACAGCGGCTTGTTTCCGTATTATGATACACGACATTGTAAACTTTATTAATGATATGGTTCCAGAGGCACCTAAGAGCAATCTTTTACTTTTCTAGCTTCCAAAGAGATGTGATGGAGTACATATCATATAACATTCTGGTGGAATGTTAGAAAAAAACAAAGCCAGTGCTCATCTCCACGTGGCGTCCTTTTTGTTAACTCCCTAGGCACTTGGTGATAATAATTGCCATATTAGATTTCACCTCAGTGGTGGATGTGCTGCTGGTCAACAACTACAACCAGTTGCTAAAAAAGCAAGACAAAAGATAACAGGAAACCAGCACCCCTCAATAAGAATGAACAAACTACAAAGAGAGCTTCTTCTGAGCAGCCCGATGAAGAGGTTGTGCATGTGCCCAGATGCAGGATCCCAGGCAGGCACTAAGTTTGTAGGAAAACACAGCAGCTGTTTCACTTTGACACTGAAATTTACTTGGAAGTCCTATAAGCTTTGAGGGGCCCCTGGGTGGCACAGTTTGTGGAACATCCAACTCTTGGTTGGTTTTGGCTCAGATCATAACCTCAGGGTCATGCTCCACATCAGGCTTGGTGCTCAGCATGGAGTCAGCTTGTAATTCTCTCCCTCTGCCCTTCCCCCTTGTGTGCTCTCACTTTCTCAGTTTTTTTTTTAAAGATTTTATTTATTTATTCATAGAGACACACAGAGAGAGAGAGGCAGAGACACAGGCAGAGGGAGAAGCAGGCTCCATGCAGAGAGCCCGACGTGGGACTCGATCCCGGGTCTCCAGGATCACGCCCTGGGCTGCAGGCGGCGCCAAACCGCTGCACCACCGGGGCTGCCCAGTTGTTTTTTTTTTTTTTTTTTTTTTTTTTTAAACCTGTTAAGTTTTGAAAAAACAAGCTCAATCCTTTAGGACAATGGAACAGTAGTTTTTGTTTATCATTTTAGATACACATTTATAGTCTAAAAAGCAACAAAACAGAGCTTTCCAAATTTAAAATTCGGTAGATAATGGATAGCCTTGAGATTTTATAAAGTTAACTACCTTTCACCCCCAACCCATCTTCCCAGAATGAAGTGATAGCATTTAAAGGCTGACCCAGAATACCAGCTGTTATTAGGGTAGGGTGTTTGCTTTAAAGGGTAAAAAACTGGGATCCCTGGGTGGCGCAGCGGTTTGGCGCCTGCCTTTGGCCCAGGGCGCGATTCTGGAGACCCGGGATCGAATCCCACGTCAGGCTCCCGGTGCATGGAGCCTGCTTCTCCCTCTGCCTATGTCTCTGCCTCTCTCTCTCACTCTCTCTCTCTATCATAAGTAAAAAAAAAAAAAAAAAAAGGGTAAAAAACTAAACCAGCAGAACAGAAAATGGTTTCTCTCATATAAATGACACAGAATGGGGTAATAATTCTTTTGGTGCAGGTTTTCTCAAAAGCTTTAACACGAATTGAAAGCTATTTAATTCCAAATTTAACTTTCCCTTTCTTGCCACCTGTTTTCATCATCCCTTAAAACTGGCCAGCTGATGGGGAGCCTGGGTGGCTCAGTTAAGTGACCAACTTTTGATTTCCAGCTCAGGCCATGATCTGAGTTGTGAGATCAAGCCCCCTTATCAGGCTCCACGCTGTGCGTGAAACCTGCTTAAGGTTCTCTCTCTCTCCCTCCCTCTACTAAAAAAAAAGAAAACAAAACAGCAGCATCTGGTTGGTTCAGTAGGTTAAGCATCTGCCTTCAGCTCAGGTCGTGATCTTAGGATCCTAGGATCGAGTCCTGCATGGGGCTCCCTGTTCAGCAGGGAGTTTACTTCTCCCTCTGTTCCTCCCCCTGCTCACTGTCACTCTCCCAAATGAGTAAATAAAAAATCTAAAAAAAAAAAAAAATTTTTTTTCTAAACACCTGATCAACTCTTTCTCAACCCACCCTCTCCAGCCCTGACACAGCCCTTCTGCCCATTTATGGTACCCTCCAGAGAATCCATCAAAACACTTCTCAAATGTTCTCCACTGGCTTAGTCAACTTTCCAAGCCCTCCTCCTGCCCCCAGTGCACCACCCCGACCTGAATCAACACATGGGTGTTCTCCAGGACCACACAAACCAAAGTGTGCAATATGACACCACCTTCAAACTTCCACCTCCTTCTGCCATTTTACTCCTCACATCTTACTTTGTAAGATGTTCAGATGTAAGATGTTTTGTTCATTTGGAGCAGCTTAGTTCCCCCTGTAGACTGTGCTGGTCTAGCTCCAACCAACACCTTTCTTGGACTCCTTCGCTCTGCAAGCCCCTTTCCATCCTTCCTTACCAGGCTACCCTGACTCACTCTGGAAGACCCACTCGGACAGTGTCTCCTCCAGGGAACCTCCCCTCAAGTTCCCACAGCCCCCAGCAGAAACTAGTCAGGAGCCCTTTCTGTGTTCACTCCCCATCGAGGCTGTTTATAAAGCCTAAGGACAGGGATTGTCTTGTTTACCTCTTTGCCCCAAACCTTGTAAAGTTTGGGCTCAAAAGCTGCTCACTTGCACGTAATTTGCTAAATTAAGAGACAGTGATCCTCTATGAAAGATGTAATCGCATATATTTTAGGTCATTTATCTATAAATACTAAATACTGTTTTTCAACTTCATATTTAAGAAGTTATCAAAACTTGTAAACACTCAACCAGATGAGCTAAATTTGAAGAGGACTGATAATACTGTGAAGACAGCTGAACAGCTGAAACTCTCCTACATTGCTGGCAGGAGGGCAAGCTGGCAGTATTTACTAAAGCTACACATGCACGTACCCTGGGGAGCCAGCACTCCAATCCTGGGTGGACGCCCAACAGCAACGAGGAAGCATGTTTTCAGCAGCAGTCTCCGTCACAGCCAGCCCCCGGTTGGAAATAATTCAGATGCCCGTTAATATTAGAATGGCTGAATAAACCCTGGCGTATTTGTACACTCAGAGCAACGACCTAGAATGAACTTCTACAGTGTGGCAACAGGGTAGTACTTCATGAAGTTAAAACCACACTCAAGCACCCCAGGGTGGCAGAGACATAACAGAAAGTGATTACCCTCAGGGGTTGTGGCTGCAGACTAGGAAGCGTGCGGACCACGAATGCAGGAGGTGCACTGTTCCCTCCCTGACCCGAGGCAGCCGTCGCCCAGGAGCACCAAGGCCAAGTTCACACAGAGGAGCTGGCACCTCGGGTAGGTGGAGGTCATGTCGCAACATAGCTCAGGAGAAAGAAAACCTGTGAATTCAACTCTTGGGACCAGGCCAACATGCTAGTGGTACAGCCATGAGAAAGTGAACTGATGAAAGGATCTTGGTCCCTGCCACAACACAGTAAGAAGGTTTTTAAAAAGAAATCTACTTTTTAAAATGCACAAATGGTATTCCTTTTTATTGTAACGGTTACAACTTTGGCTTAAGGTTCATAATACTGTTTCCAGACAGTGTTCCACTGTTAACATAAAAGAGGCTGTTGTGATGTGACTTACGCCAGCTCCTTGGCAGGTGAACCACTCATCTGGCTACATCTTGAGAAAACCACTCAACTCTGGCCTACAGGATGGCAGGAGTAGTCGTCTAAAACGTTTATTTGACTATGTTCCTTCTATGCTTTAACCTAAAACCAGCTGCCACCTTTTAGTGATGACAGAAATAAAATTCTTGGAGATGTATAAAAAATATTTCCTGCTGAGATTAAAAAAAAGAAACCAAAAAACAAAAAACTTTGAGTACCCTACAACAACTGATATACTTTGTCCTCGGAATTGTAATTTTGGCCAATGTCTGACATGTTTAGCTTCAGTTCTAGGACTGAGTTTTAATACTAACAAAGAAATACTCAGTTTAACCAAATACCTGTCAGGATTCCGGTGTATTTTGAGGAAAGGTATATAAATAAAAAGATTAACAGATTTAAATGCAATTTAAGAGCAAGGAAGAACATAAGTATCTAAAAACTATACATGTACACATGCAGAACAAACTCTGAGCTACAGGATACACAAGGCAAAAGTGAATATAGCACCTTTCGACATAGAATATTTTCCATTGCAACCTCATGTATATATCTATAAATTAGAACTACATTAAAACCTACAAATCTTCATGTTCACCAGAACTTCCTGAGTGGCTGACACTAGGTTAGCAGGGTAATATAGGCGGCATGTGACACCCATTTGTCTTTCAAAGACTTCTTCAACTTTTGACTTTGATGCTACCACCTTCAAGGCACCAGTCCAAGTGCTCATTAATCTGAGACTCCAACACTTCATTCTGACAAACAGGACAATCAACCATCCTGTTCTGGCTGGATGCACTGCTGGAATTCTGAGTTGCAGCTGTAGGATGTGAACTCCACTTTGGATCATTTCCACCACTTTGTACTTGCTCTTTCTTGATAAAAAAATTGTCAGAAACAGTCTTGTCTTCTAGCCTGGGTCGTTTACTTGGGAGTTTCTCCTCAGGCCCACTCACATCCTGGGGTGCAGTCACAGATGTTGATTCCGGTGCTTTTAAAGAATTTCTCAGGGATATCTTAGAAGAGGTGACCCTTTTGTGAGATCCAGAAGAGATGGAGTTTTTAGTGATGTCACCGGTTGTTAGGCTTTTTGTTGGAGATCCATTCACATTTCGGAAGGTCTTTTGGTTGGCAACTGAGACCCTAGGAAAGTAGTTGCTTAAAACATTTTGGTGACTGGCAGTAAGAATAGGGGACACTAGAGGAGTTTTTTTACTTGAACCATTCTGTTCAAATTTCACCTCAATTTTAGAACTAGGTCTGAGAGCTTTTGCCGAATGGTCTTGACTTAAAAGATCTTGGGTTTTATTAATAGCATACGAAGTGACAAACTTTCCCGATGAAGGCGAGTTGCTCGTTTCTCCTAGAACATATCCTTTCCCACTGAAAGGGATCAACAGCTGGGTCTCACCTCTGTTAGATTTATCTACAAAAGAAGCAAAGGTTCTCTTGATTCGAAATTAATACAGTAACAAGTGTTAAGCTAATGAGCTATTATTGGGAGAAGGACGTATCTACAGTGGTCAGGGGGCTCAGGGAGGGAGAGAACACAAAAAATAAAAATCTAGCATCCCAAGCCCACTAGCAAAGGAACTTGTACCTTGAAAATCACTTAGCATTCTTCAAGTTTAGTTCCAGAGGGAAAAGTCTCCTCCCACATTCTTTTCTTTCCCCCTACTCACACAGAATGGGGATATATAACCTCTCCACATAAATTCTTCTCTAGCTCCTCCACTCACTCACCACTTTTGAATTTGGGAAAAGTAGCTTATTATTAATGTTTCTGGATCCAACCAACAATTTCCCAAGCGAAGAAGCCTTAACTTTAGTGACCTGGTTCCCTCTTCAAAAGGCAGAGACTCTGAACTTCATAGGAAAGGAATAAATCTCAAAGATGAACTACCAGCACATACATGTCATATCCTTTTCCCATTCTTCTCCCAATGAAAATACATACATCAACAGCAGAAGTCACTCGGCTAGAAGCCAAGTGATAGGAAGGGGTGGGTTAGGAGTAATTCCGGGCATTGTTATTTGAATTACTGTTTTTATTTTGACAATCATTTTGCCTTCTGTTTCCCAATGACTCAGTGAGTCAAGATAGGGAAAGGGCCTTTACCTAACTCCAATATTATCCGTGAACACAATTTCTACTTTAACTCACACTACACAGAGCAAAGTACATTTTTCTACCATCACTTCACAAACAATGGGATTTGTTTAAATCCACACTTACAAATGTATACTTGAAATAATCCTTAAGCTCATCTTAACACCAGTTCTCCAGAGGACAGCCCTGGCTTTTATACTGTTAGCTGTGGTCCCAGCAAACATGGAAGAGCAAAGTTACCTTTATTTTCAGCTGCTGTTGGCTGCTTTCCTACTTTTGTCTTTCCTTTGCCCTTTTTTGAGTAATTCTCTGGTTCCTTGATTTTGATGTAGGTGCCGCCACAGGTCTTCTGGTGCTCGGCCCACCAGTAGTCATGCACAGAGGGTGCCCTGTTGGTGGCGCGTTTGACATAACCGTAGTAGGGTTTCTTGTACTGACAAGGCCCATTGCAGCGCCACCAGTGTCGCCGGTACTCATCCACCTCGTCGTGGAAAGTATGGTACACCTGGGTTGAGAGAAAGTGCTCAGTGTTAAAGAGGCAAAGTTAACAATTTAAAAAAAAATACAGAAGCAGCCTTCCTGTGTTTAAACTTCCAGTTTCTGAGAGCTCTCTGCAATGACACTTTGGAGAAGGCAGCAAATAGATTTAGCTTCTGTTCCCAAAGTTCATTTTAATGGGACAGCAGCAGTTAATACTTCAAAAACTGTGTAAAGATAGAAAGATATGGGATCCCTGGGTGGCGCAGCGGTTTGGCGCCTGCCTTTGGCCCAGGGCGCGATCCTGGAGACCCGGGATCGAATCCCACGTCGGGCTCCCGGTGCATGGAGCCTGCTTCTCCCTCTGCCTGTGTCTTTGCCTCTCTCTCTCTCTCTCTCTCTCTCTCTCTCTCTCTGTGACTATCATAAATAAATAATAAAAAAAAAGATAGAATGATGTGAGATTAGAAAACAAACAAAATTTTTAGCCCACAAAAGCCTGTCAATGCTAAAAGTTTTAGAAACCAAATTTTAAAATGATCAAAAATCAGGATAAAGACAAAATTTTATATAATGCCATAATAAATAACAATTATTCCTTCCTACTGTTCAACTGAAATTTTCCCCTGTAAGTAACAATACCAAAGGGTTCTGGACTATTTCCTAGAAATGCTCAACCCCACCTACACAAGCATTTTGCCTGATGCAGTCTCTGCTACACCCACTCCACATTCTCAAAGGTCTTTCTTTGCCCCCTTGTCTTTGTAATGAGCCTCATGGGGGCATCATTCTACCTGCTTATGGCAAAAAGCTCCCCAGGATTCAAAGGATCTTTTTTTTTTTTTTTTTTAAGCTTTGAGAGAGAGAGCAGAGACAGAAAGCATGTGTGGGGGTGAGGGGCAGAAGGAGAGGGAGAAGCAGACTCTCCGCTGAGCAGAAAGCTCAAAATGGAACTGAATCCCAGGACCCTGGGATCACAACCTGAGCTGAAGGCAAATGCTTAATCGACTGAGCCACCTAGGTGCCCCAGGATTCAAATATTTTCATCTCTGTGTCCCTAAGTGGCTAATATAGGCTCTGGCACAGTGAAGGTGCTCAGTCAGTATTTGCTGCCTGAATGAATGAAAAGCTTCATTCATTGATTCAAACAAAATTCTCTGCAAATGAGCTTTTCAATACTTATACAGGATCATTTAGTTTCACCCTCTAGATAGAATCTTATTTACAGATGAAAGAGGTTTGACTGAACAGAAAGTTAGCCCTCCCACCTTGGGGGCCTTGTGGAAAGCAAGACACCAATGAAGACCTGATAATCCTCAATAACCCATGTACCTTTCTCTTCTGTCCTCCCAGTGGAACATTACTACTGTATAAGATAAGGAGCCTCCACAGATGAGATTTTAACATTTAGACATTTAACTAGACATTTAACTTTCTAATAAATTCCACAGAGGAAAAGAACATGAAACTTTCTATAACTCTACAGGTAAGTTTTATACTGTGTCTCCCTCCTAAGCAACAAATGTGTATGACTTGGCAAGCATGCCAACAATACATTATGTGAGGCGCAGAAGGCACTGGAGGGCAGAGGTTTGGGGGTAAAGAGGTATGGAATACTCTGCCTTCTCCCTTATGTTAAGAATTCTTCACTGAATTCACTGGTTAAAAAGCCAGGACATTGGATCTATTTTGCTTCCAAGTCCTGTAACTTGTAACTTGTAACAGCCTAGGGATGTGACTTCTTTAACAATGTAGTCACCAAAATAAAATTGTGGAACTAGATGCCCTGTGGAGTTTGTTATAACAGGATGTAACCTGTAAAAGCAAGGGGTGTCCATGCGATAAAACCTCTCCTAAATGAAAACACACAGACGTGCAAGATAAAAGAATATATCCTCTTCCAACTGAACAATAGGAAGTATACCAGGACTTTGCTTAAAGTGAAAACGCCAATGAGGAAACTAAAAGCCTTTTGTACCTGCAACTCCACAATGCTTTTGCTAGTCAGGACTTTATGTGACTGTTTTTTACTTTGTTAAAAAAAAAATAAAATTTAGGGCAGCCCTGGTGGCCCAGCAGTTTAGTGCCACCTTCAGCCCAGGGTGTGATCCTGGAGACCCGGGATCTAGTCCCACGTCAGGCTTCCTGCACGGAGCCTGCTTCTCCCTCTGCCTCTGTGTGTGTGTGTGTCTGTCATGAATAAATAAAATTTTAAAAAATTCTTTTTCTTAAGATTTTAAAAAACAGGATCATGACCTGAGCTGAAGGCAGCCACTTAACTGACTGAGCCACCCAGGCACCCCATGTAACTGGTTTTTAATGCAAGCCACTTTCTTGATGAAGTAACTCTGATAATTAAATGAGCTCTCTAGAAAATTAAAGCCAACAGCTAGAAGAAAAAAAGAATCTACATAAAGTGAGCACTTTTCATTTTCCACAAGGCTGGCTTTTACTGCCTTTCAAAGACAGGAAATAATCTGCAGGAATTTGGTTCAATCCAATGCAATACTTATTAGCCCTCATAGGGGCGCTGTATCACACATCTTATACAGAGGTGTACAAAGATAAGGAAGAGCCACCCTGTGTTCAGAGGTCTGAAATAGAATAAAATATTGTCAATGGTCAAAGAGCTGCTAGGGACACTAAAAGGAAGAAGTCCTGGACCACTGCGAAGATGAAGGACATGTGACAGCACAGAGGAAGTGGGACCCATGAGGGAGAGGATGTGCGAGGAGCCGCACGGGGGCTGAAACGTTCACTGAGCCAAGACAAGCAGGGGACTGTGTGGGGCAGAGAAAAGGAACAGCAAGGTCACCTGATAAAATGAATCAGTAATAATAAACATCTCGTATTTAACTTTGTGCTCAGGGATCCGTGGGTGGCGCAGCGGTTTGGTGCCTGCCTTTGGCCCAGGGCGCGATCCTGGAGACCCGGGATCGAGTCCCACATCGGGCTCCCGGTGCATGGAGCCTGCTTCTCCCTCTGCCTATGTCTCTGCGTCTCTCTCTCTGTGTGTGTGACTATCATAAATAAATAAAAATTTAAAAAATAATAGTAATAACTTTGTGCTCAGACGGGGCTACAATGTTTGGCACATATTTTCTCATCTCAAGGACCCAGCAGGTAAGTATCCTTGCTGCCCCCCTTTCCTGCTCCCACACGGAGGCCCCATAGTCTGCTGTCCATGGAGTGAGCACCAGAACGCCAGCAGTTGGAGGACTCCTGCTTTTCTGCCCCCAGACTCTGCTTCCTACAATATTATGCAAAAATATAAATCAAGGAAAGCTTGTGATGATGGGCATGACACATGAAATGGCAGCAGATACAGGAACCATCGAAGGAGGAGATGATCACAAGGAAACGAAGCTAAGGGATAGCTGTAGCAATCCAGAGGTAGCGCCGGACTGTAGCCACTATGCACACAGCATTGCCCTAGCTGCGCTCAGAGGCCTGGGGGGGCACCTGAGCGGCCCCAGCCCCAGACCAGCGGGTTAGCTTCTCTTTGCTTGTCTGTCTTGCTGTGGGAAATCCTCAAAGACAGTGTTTGTTTCTATCCAGTTGCCTATTTTTTAGTTAAATCCCAGGAATTACTGAGTAAATACTAAAAATCATAAATGTTCTACCTATTTATTAATAAGTTAAATTAATGAATGTTATATTTATTATTTAAATCATATACCGTTATATTAGCTCCAGTCAGGCGATTGATGCGATGCATATGTTTACAAAACTCTGGGCCGTGGCCCTCCCGGTCTTTATCATTATTAGTGACAAATAAATAGGCATGTATCATTTCATGCAAGAGGGTCTGAAACAGAAAAGAATCAAATTGTTAGGGTGCTTTTGAAAATAAAAAGGCATTTTCTTACCCTGCCTGGGGTCTTAACTTTGTTTGGATCACAGGCTCCTTTCAGAAACTGTTAAAAGTCATGAACCGTCTTTCTAGAAAAATTACGTATGCATCCATTCACAAAACTTTGCATATACTCTCTGAAACTCTGCAGATCCCAGGTTAAGAACTCCATGCTCCAAGAAAGCCTTTTTAACTCTTAATCAAAAACTCAAAGGAAAGATCAATGAACTCAACTACATAAAAACTTTAAAATTCTGTGTGGGGGGAGAAAAGAGGGTGGCTGAAAAAAATTCAAAATGATGTATGAGCAATGCACCTCTCAGGCTACTAATTCTTAAAATATAAAGAGCTACTAAAGTCAATAATAGGAAATGACCAATAACTCAATTTTTAAGGGGGCAAAAGTCATAGATGGGTTCACAGAAAAAGAAATAAAAGGCTCTGACAATGTTAAAAGTTTTAGAAACCAAATTTTGAAATGATCAAAAATCAAGATAAACCATAAGCATGAAAAAAAATGTGCAACTCCACTTATAAAAACAAATACAAATTAATGTTACACCAATATGCTACTTCTGCTTATCTAGATTAGTAAAACTCCCAGTTTGACATTAGTAAAGCTAAGGTGAAAAAAACATTCCCATATATCTCTGGTGGGACTGCAAAATGGTACAAATCCCCTCCGAGGAGAATTTGGTAACATCTCACAAAGTATTTTCAAAACCAGTGCCTGGGTGGGTGGCGTAGTCAGGGAACCATCTGATTCTTGGTTTCAGCTCAGGCTGTGATCTAGGGTTGTGAGATTGAGCTCCACACTCACAGCAGAGTTTGCTTGAGAGTCTCTCTCCCTCTCTGTCTCCCCCTCCCAGAGGCTCATGCTCTAATAAATAAATCTTTTAAAAAATTTGCAAAACAGAACAATGAAACAAAAAAGAAACTAGTAACAATATCCTATAGAAGTTGGGGAGTTCAGCATAGAGAAGGATGGGATAGGACAACCTTTCTATGTGTATTGTTTTACATAGTCTTGGGATTTTTGAATCATGTGCAATTTTAAAACAATAAAACCAGGATACCTGGTGGCTCAGCGGTTGAGCATCTACGTTTGGCTCAGGACGTGATCCTGGAGTTCCAGGATCGGGCTCCTGTATGGAGCCTGCTTCTCCTCCCTCTGCCTGTGTCTCTGCCTCTTTCTCTGTCTCTCATGAATAAATAAATGAAATCTTAAAAAAAAAAAAAACAATAAAACCTACTACTCTAGTGAATAAAATCTGATGATAAATCCCATGATTGGCCGAAATTTAATCTGAATTTACATAAATCTTCTTTGAATTAAAACAATAGCGGGATCCCTGGGTGGCGCAGCATTTTGGCGCCTGCCTTTGGCCCAGGGCGCGATCCTGGAGACCCAGGATGGAATCCCACGTCGGGCTCCCTACAGGGAGCCTGCTTCTCCCTCTGCCTGTGTCTCTGCCTCTCTCTCTCTCTCTGTGTGACTATCATAAATAAATAAATAAATAAATAAATAAATAAATAAATAAATAAATAAATAAATAAATAAATAAATAAATAAATAAAAAGCCTAGTGTTCATTTCCACATCAAAGATGTAGATGTGTAGGTGTAAAATTCACAAAAGTATTTAAGGCTGCCGTTTCATAATTTATCTTAAATATTTTTTATTTTTTATTTATTTTTTTTTAAGATTTTTTTTTCATTTATTCATGAAAGACACAGAGAGAGGCAGAGACCTAGGCAGAGGGAGAAGCAGACTCCATGCAGGGAGCCCAATGTGGGACTCAATCCCAGGACTCCAGGATCATGCCCTGAGCCGTCCCAGAAATATCTTTTTAAAGAGTGAAAGTCGGGCAGCCCGGGTGGCTCAGCGGTTTAGAGCCGCCTTCAGCCCTGGGCGTGATTCTGGAGACCCACAGTCCCACGTGGGGCTCCCTGCATGGAGCCTGCTTCACCCTCTGCCTTGGGTCTCTGCCCCCCTCTCTCTCTCTCTCTCTCTCTCTCTCACCCTCTGCCTTGGGTCTCTGCCTCTCTCTCTCTCTCTCTCTCTCTCTCTCTCTGTGTCTCTCATGAATAAATAAATAAAATCTTTTTAAAAAATAGTGAAAGTCATAAAGGTCTTCTAAAAGCAAACCTTGTTCATAATGTTTTTACAAAGAATTTCCATCAGAACTAGATTGCCATTAATGAACTGTAGTAATTATGCTGAACAGAAAAATGGGTGAATCAAACATTTTAACTTGGTCATTACAAAAACATCTCTTTTAAAATTATCAACTCCATCTCTAAAAGTGAATTTAATCTTTTCAAGTAAATACCACTCTTTGGGACTCTAACTCAAAGGGCCTCTACATTTCAAATGTTTTCTAACACAGTAATGATCAATAACTAGTCTCATAAAGAATAAATAAATTAAGGCTCCTAATTTTGGGTTCAATTTAAACACCCTGAAAATGGCACATGGCACCATACTGAACAATTTCTATTTTTATAGATGTACCATTTTCCACTCCACATTTAGGACAGATTCGATTCTACTCAACATGGTCCCCAAACACCTCTACTTCCCACCACTGTACTGTCTGGCCAAAAGCAGCTACTTCTGGTCCTCAGTATGCCCTAAATTTCATGCCTCTCTTCTGTTCACAGCATGCCCATTTCTTCTGCCAAGAGTGGTTTTCCTCTACTATTCCTACTTCTCAGAATGCAATCTGTCCTATAAGGCTCACCTCCGTGTTTTCATTAGCAGGAGTAACAATTATAAAGTAATTATAATTATAAATTATAAAGTAATGAGGCCATGTGGTATAGGGAATAGGACAAGAGCTTTAGAGCCAGGCAAACAGCCTACACCAAGGATTTATTATTTATTATGCACAAGGCTTTGGACAAGTTACAACTTGCTCCTTATTCCTAATATGGGGATATTCTGATCTTGCAGGGCTATACACACTAGATTAACTACTCACTAGATTAACACTAGTGTTAATCATAATTACTACTACTACTGGCACACAATACATACTCAATAAATCAATAAAGAGTAGTAGAAGTGGTGATGTCAGTAGTCATAAAATACACGTGCATGAAGCTTTTCTTTGTCCTCAACCAGACAAAGTCTTTTCCTTTTCTGAATCCTACTCATTACAATTTAGGTCATACTTTATGTACAGACCAGAGTCACACTGTTCCTCTTTGGTCCTTCTTTAACCCGATCTGATATTGTAACTTTCTGCCAACAGCAAATGCTCACTTGATAGCATTACCACACATTTCCCATTCTCTTCTCGCCCATTACCTTAAAAAAAAATTGTTCGTGCGTTTAACCATTTACACAATAAATATTCATTAAGCAACTACTGTTATTAGAGCTCTTCATAAGGTTGATTTGGTTAATCATGTTCGAATGTTTTTTTATGCCTACTTTCTTTCCCCTGCTTATTCACTGAGTTACCAACAAAGTTGTGTTAACACCTGCAGCTATGATTGTGGATTATTTCCCTTTTTGCTTTTACTAATCTATGCTTTATGTAATTTAAAGCTATATTACTACTTTTAGGATCATTATGTGTTTTTATTTAATAGATCATTTTATCATTATAAAATGTTAACCTTTTTTCCAGTAAAACTTCTTCCCTTAAAATCTTTAGTCTGATACAACAGCTTTCTGTTTTTGTTTGGATGATATACATCTTTTTCCACCCTTTTGCGTTTAACATATGTGTGTCTTTATCTTTTTTTTTTTCTAAAGCAATTTTATTTTATTTTTTTATTCATGAGAGACACAAAGAGAGAGAGAGAGAGGGAAAGAGAGAGGCAGAGACATAGGCAGAGGGAGAAGCAGGCTCCATGCAAGGAGCCCGACGCGGGACTCGATCCTGGGTCTCCAGGATCACACCCCGGGCTGAAGGCAGCGCCAAACCACTGGGCCACGAGGGCTGCCCTGTGTGTCTTTATCTTAAGCACATCTCTTTCCATCTAGTATGTCAGTTCATGTTTAATTAATGCTTAATCCATTTACATTTAATATAATTACTGATAACCGTCTTTATGCCTAACTTTTTTTGCGGGGCTTTGTTCCTTTATTCCTCCATTCTCTTTTAATAGTTAATTATTCCTGCTGTACCATTTTATATTTAGTAGCCACTGTCTTCTATCCTAACTGTGGTGAAAAACACACTACATAAAATTTACCATCTTAACTATTTCTAGTGTACAGTTCTGGAGTGTTTAGTATATTCACATGGTTCTGAAAACCATCACCTTATATTATCCTTAAAAACACCATCTTTCATATTTCCAAGCATGTCTTAACATATTCCCCATCCAACCTCTACCACCTTATCCTCTTTTGTGCACACATTTCAAGAGCTGTAACTGGGGCAAGACCAGTCACACTGGGTGTGTCTTAGGGAATTTCAGGCATCTTCTAGATTCAACTAGCCATAATCTGGGGGCTCCTACTGCTCCATTTTGCTAGTGAAGCATGCCCTCACTCATGCTGGCTGGTTATACCAGCTCAGCTAGATATTCTGGGAGGGCAGCACCACAGCACCTGAACAGAGAACCAAATCTGAAGTCTCAAAAGGAAGATATGGGTCCTAGTTTTTTCTAAATTTTTGCTTCTAAATATGTAACTTAAACCAGTTACTTAGCCTCTCTGAACCTTTATGTCCATATTTATAAAAATGAAGACAACACACATTGTACATAAACAGGGCTGTTGTGAAGATCAAATTAAATAATAAACCCAAAAGCCTTTAGCTGTGAAGAACTATAAAAATATACGGTAATCATTATTATCTGCCTTGCAGTAAAAGTTTGCAATAAGGAAAAACAGGTGTTTGGTTTTTATATTACAGGTTAATTCACAGCAGTGTAAATCAGTAAAAAGCATTTTTAAATTACTCAGCTAAGAATCAAGTTTATGCAAAGAATACCTCTACGAGATCCTTCCTTGGTCTCAACTTTAACAGAGGTTCACTGAGACGGATGGAACACATTCCACCCCTCCCTTCATAGCTGCATAGCCCAGCACACCTGGAAAACAACCACCACAAAAGCATTATTTACCTAAAACACACAAAAGGGAAACAAGAATAAATCCTTATACATTCTTGGGCAGTCCACACTAGTATACCTTTTTTGTTAGGAGGTATCTTCAGATCACCCCAGTGAGAGAGATGTGTGAACAGAACTGCATCCCTTGCCCTAGCCAGGTTACAAGAGGCCAAAGACAATCCTGTTCTGCGGCTCCCAGTCTCCTCCCTTCAAACTATAATCAGTTTGTGGTAGTAACAGCCAGATCTCCATCGGCACATCTCCGAAAGCGTAAGAGAAGCCTTTACGAAGGAGATTTGTCCTTTTAAACAGTTTTATGCCATATCTTAATCTGTCTTAGTTTAGGCTGTTTTGTATTACTTCAAAGACAAGCACCGTGGTGTACAACCATATTGAAGTTGTTAACTCCGTTCATGTGCCGGAACAGATTATTTCAAATCAGGAGTTCTCTACTTTAGTGAACATCCTTTTAGAGGCATCCCCGAAGATCCTTTCGGTCCAGAAATATGGAAACGTCAGCCCCGTCCCCCTCCTAACACCTGAGCTCACTACCAAGTGGTGACATCTCAAAAGGGCACAGAAGAGGACAACACACATCTTTGGGAGGCTTCGCTGCCTCCTCGCCATTCTTTCTTAGGGGCTGACTCTGGGCGCTTCTCCCTCCTGGGTCAGAAACGTGTTAATTTATTTTCAGGTGAGGGGAGATCCAAAGACATCCTTTTCTCTGCCGGTGTCCTTTACAAATCAATCGGCTACCGGAACGGGCCACACAGCTAGCTTTCTTAAAGTCGTTGGAGAGGGAGAGAGAGTAGGGGAGGGAGAGAGACAGCGAGAGGAGCTGCTGGTGTCCACCACGAGACCCCCAGGTTTCACGCCCCCCGGGACCGGGGGCTGCAGAGGAGCTGCCAGCCGCTCCCGTTTCCCCAGCGGGGCTCGGGACTCACAGGGTCATTCGCACGCTCCACTTCACCTCGACGGCCTCCAGCTGGCCCCAGAAGAACCGATCGTTGAACTGCACAAACAGGGCCTGCAAATCCGGGGTTGGGTCCACCAGCTCCCAGGACGCGTCCACCAGCGACAGGGGCGCCTGGGCCCGGTCGCGCTCCGACCCCTGCAAGTTCCACTCCTCCTGAAGCCGCAGCGCCAGCACCAGATCCTCGTCCATCTCTGCCGGGATCCCAGGCGGCGTCCGAAGGCGTTAAGCAGGCTCCACGGATCCGACGCTCCGAGAGCCTGGTCGAGCTCCTAAGAAATACCGGCTCTGGGGCGGCTCTCGGGCGGCTCTCGGGCGGCTCTCGGGTCGGCCCGCCGATCTCGCGAGAACTCAGGAATAACTGGCTCCAGAACGAGAACTGAGTTTGCCCCAAACGCCGAGGCCAAGATTCTGGGGCTTAAAAAAGAGAACTCTGCATGGTACCTCCTAGTGGGCTCAAAACGTGGGCTCAAAACGTGGGCTCCCAGGGCCTGGACTCTAGGAAGGTGTCGGGAGACCGGTGACCGCCTTTACGCTTCGCCGCTCACTTCAAACACAAACGTCACGCCCGGCCCATGCGCAGTACCCACGTCTCGCCGCCTCGCCCTCCACTCTCTTCCGCAATAGCGCCTCCGGCGCATGGGCTCTAGGCCGCGGGCGCTCCTGCGCATGCGCGCTGCCTGCGCCCGGCCCCCTGCGCAGGCGCGGTGCCTGAAGCTCAGACTCGGGCGCAGGCGTACTCGTCTCTTTTCCATCCTGCTTCCGCAGCCCCGGAGCTCGGCGGGGCTTGGGTGGGTCTCGACAGCGGCGGCACGGGCGGCGGCGGTAGTGACAGTGGCTTCGTGAGCCTCGGACGGAAATGGCGATGGCGATGTCGGACAGCGGGGCGAGCCGCCTGCGGCGGCAGCTGGAGTCGGGGGGCTTCGAGGCGCGGCTGTACGTGAAGCAGCTCTCGCAGCAGTCGGACGGGGACCGGGACTTGCAGGAGCACCGGCAGCGCATCCAGGCGCTGGCGGAGGAGACGGCGCAGAACCTGAAGCGCAACGTCTACCAGAACTACCGGCAGTTCATAGAGACGGCCCGCGAGATCTCCTACCTGGAGAGCGAGATGTATCAGCTCAGCCATCTGCTGACCGAGCAGAAGAGCAGCCTGGAGAGCATCCCGCTCACCCTGCTGCCGGCCGCCGCCGCCGCCGCCGCTGGGGCTGCCGCGGCCTCGGGCGGGGAGGAGGGAGGCGGCGGCGCGGGGGGCCGAGACCACCTGCGGGGCCAGGCTGGCTTTTTTCCCGCTCCCGGGGCCGCCTCCCGCGACAGCTCGGGTCCGGGCGAGGAAGGGAAGCAGCGCACCCTTACCACCTTGCTTGAGAAGGTGGAAGGCTGCAGGCACCTGCTGGAGACGCCGGGGCAGTACCTGGTGTACAACGGGGACCTGGTGGAGTACGAGGCTGACCACATGGCGCAGCTGCAGCGGGTGCACGGCTTTCTCATGAACGACTGCTTGCTGGTGGCCACCTGGCTGCCACAGCGGCGGGGGATGTATCGCTACAACGCCCTCTATCCCCTGGACGGTTTGGCCGTGGTCAATGTCAAGGACAACCCGCCCATGAAGGACATGTTCAAGCTGTTGATGTTTCCCGAGAGCCGTATTTTCCAGGCGGAGAATGCTAAAATCAAACGAGAGTGGCTGGAAGTGCTGGAGGAAACCAAGAGGGCCCTCAGTGAAAAACGGCGAAGGGAGCAGGAAGAGGCAGCGGCCCCGCGCGGACCACCGCAGGTGACTTCCAAAGCCGGTAACCCATTTGAGGATGAGGAAGAGGACGAACCAGCTACTCCTGAGGTAGAAGAGGAGAAGGTGGATCTCTCAATGGAGTGGATCCAGGAGTTGCCTGAAGACCTGGATGTCTGTATTGCGCAGAGGGACTTTGAAGGAGCCGTTGACCTGCTGGATAAGTTGAACCATTACCTAGAAGATAAGCCCAGTCCACCTCCTGTAAAAGAACTAAGGGCCAAAGTGGATGAGCGGGTCCGACAGCTCACTGAGGTGCTAGTTTTCGAACTGTCCCCGGATCGTTCCCTGAGAGGCGGTCCCAAGGCGACTCGAAGGGCAGTTTCTCAACTCATCCGCCTTGGCCAGTGCACAAAGGCTTGTGAGCTGTTTTTGAGAAACAGGGCAGCAGCTGTGCATACTGCAATACGTCAGCTTCGTATCGAAGGCGCCACTTTACTCTACATTCATAAGCTCTGCCACGTGTTCTTTACCAGCCTTCTTGAGACTGCGAGGGAATTTGAGACGGATTTTGCAGGCACTGACAGCGGCTGCTACTCTGCCTTTGTGGTCTGGGCGAGATCAGCCATGGGCATGTTTGTGGATGCTTTTAGCAAGCAGGTGTTCGATAGTAAGGAGAGCCTCTCCACGGCGGCTGAGTGTGTGAAAGTGGCAAAGGAGCATTGTCAGCAACTGGGTGACATCGGACTGGACCTCACCTTCATCATCCATGCCCTTCTGGTGAAGGACATCCAAGGGGCCTTGCACAGTTACAAAGAAATCATAATCGAAGCCACTAAGCATCGCAACTCTGAGGAGATGTGGAGGAGGATGAACCTGATGACCCCAGAAGCCCTGGGCAAACTCAAAGAGGAGATGAAGAGTTGTGGGGTAAGAAACTTTGAGCAGTACACAGGAGATGACTGCTGGGTGAACCTGAGTTACACTGTGGTTGCCTTTACCAAACAGACCATGGGCTTCTTGGAAGAAGCGCTGAAGCTGTATTTCCCAGAGCTGCACATGGTGCTTTTGGAGAGCCTGGTGGAAATCATCCTGGTTGCTGTGCAGCATGTGGATTACAGCCTTCGGTGTGAGCAGGATCCGGAGAAAAAGGCTTTTATCAGACAGAATGCGTCCTTTCTGTATGAGACCGTCCTCCCTGTGGTGGAGAAAAGGTTTGAAGAAGGTGTGGGGAAACCCGCCAAGCAACTCCAGGACCTGAGAAATGCATCTAGACTTATTCGCGTGAACCCCGAAAGTACAACATCAGTGGTCTGATGCTTGGCTCTGTGTATATGTATACGTATATATTGCTTATATATTATTTATATTTATATTAAGTTGCATTAGGATACTCTTTATAGTCTTGAACACAGCTTAAAAATAAAAGACACCCTCTCAAATAAAAATGCAGAATCAAAAGAAAAAAAGTTCAAATTAAGCCCAAATAACAAAACATTGGAATTATTAAAATATATGCTTCCTTTTTAAATTATGCTAACTCTCTAATGAATATATTGTCACACTATAGCATTTCAGTGTATACTTTTGAGTCAAAACACACTTTCTTACAGTATATATTATGCAGCACAGAAAAATAATGTAAGTATGTGGTGTTTAAGTATGTTGTGAAGTTTCCCCGTTCACTAAAATGTTAGGTCTCTTCAAAGAGTACAAGTGCCGTGCAAAACGACCTGCTTCATACACTCCCCCGCCTTAAAATGTGATCAAACAATGTTGGGAAAAGAAAGGAATTGAGAAAATTGATTTTAGGGTAGATTTTGGTCAAAAGAATACCTTCTTGAAAGTGGCTAGTTTGTGGACTCAAATACATGGATCCTTATAGAATACAAGGGGAAGCTTTCAAAAAAAACAGCTCAGCAAACATTGCCAGTGTAATTTGAGTGGCTCATTATTTTCACCTAATTAGCAGCTTTCTAATACTTGATTTGGGATCACTTACTTGAATCTTAAGGAATATAGTAAATTTTTTTTCAACATATTCCTGAACCATGTGAATTTTCAGCTGCAGCTTTGGTCTTTATCATACTAAAAAATTAAAATGATTTTAAAAAGAGAGAGAGAGACTGAGGAAACTGGCAGCCTCCCGTGATTTTTAGCTGCTTTCCCCCACTTTCCATTGCAAATTATATAGTGGCTCAGACTTCATGCAAATGGGAGAAAAGTTTTCACTGAAATATTTGTTTAGATGTCAGCATCTGGGTGCATGGGAAATTAGGAAAAATATGCAAACCGCTAGTGTTCTCGGTACGACTGCTTTGAGCAGAGATTTTTGTTTTTTTAAGCAAAGTGAAGATAAAGGTGAGATAATGTACCCAAAGCCAAGGGAGAAAAAAGAACTTTTGGTGACTCCCACTAAAATGCTACGTGCTGCCTTTTTCTCGTTTTATTTTGTATTTTCCTTTGTTCTTAAAAGTAAATATAATGCTTACTTTGGATTGTTTAGTAAAACGAAAAGAGCTAAAGAAATTTGAGCTTCCCAAGATTTCTGAACGACTGCTTCTATTGTGCATTGATTATATTAAGATTCCTCATACTTTGAGAGAAATTGTGCTAAGATCCATTTTTTCCTCTAGCTTCCATTTGTGATTCTTGTCCAAACGTGCCATTTGATGTCAAGGACTTCCAAAGGTCATGTCTTTTATCTGAATTAAAATAGTGGTATTAAGACTGGAAATTATGTAAAACTGAAAATACCTTCCAAGAGTGGCTTAGGGTTTCTGAAGCTCCCTGACTCAGTTACTTACTGCCTGAGGAGCCCTTTTATTTATTTTTAGCTATGCATTTTCAAGGTTGAAAATTATCAAAGTTACAGATTTTCTTTAATTTTTCGCATAAATTTAGGATTTTCTAGATGATAACCATAACTGGATATCTCAGCTGAGCAAAAACAGTTATAATTTGTGTTGTTTTTTTTAAGATCACTGGAAACTTGAATTTGATAAAAAAATTTATTTTGTGCAACTTACAGTTTCTAAAATTATATTGTATAAAACACATGTTGTGTAAATATCTGATGCTAGGTCCATGAAATACTTCTGAAATCAAAACTTAAGGCATGAAGTTGTAAAAACTTAAATGTGTATACTCAGATATTTAAATGGTTGCTTCTTCATAGAACTGTCTGCTTTTTAAAACTGGAAGTACAGAATTTTCTTTGGGTAAAATTTG